AGATACCAAGCCTCTGTTGGGAACCTGCAGTTTCCTTGTCAAATGAGATATGTCTTGGTATAGTCTCTTAATAGAAACAGTTTGTCACAGGGTGGATGCTAGCAGAAGATACCAGAAGTGCAGAAACTGAGCTTGTGAAAAACACACCAAGTCTAACCCCTGATGTTCATCAGGAAAGGTTGAAGGCAACCATGGTTGTTGAAGGAATAAGGAAGAAGGTTTCAAAATTATGCAGAGATTTAACAGAAGGTAAGAGTTAATAAGATGGACTCTTGATGGGAGTCCTTCTTGTAACCATGAGAAGACAGAGGGAAATGAAGGAGGGTCATGGCTGCACTGGCCTCCACACCCTTGCATGACTGCATGAGGTGGTCAAGATACCTTTTCACTGCAACGTACTTGGCTACTCCACTATCTCCTGGGCTCACGCACCCACACTGAGTCATTCTTGAAGAAGCATAAGAGTGTTTCTCCATCAGATTCTGCCACTGGTTATTTTAAATACAGTGTTCATAAACTCCAATACTAGTTAAAAAAAATAATTTACTGCCCTTTACACCTAAAACTGTGTGTACCTCGATCCAAGCACTGGGAAGTGCTCCTGAGCCTTGCAGCCTGCACACAGCTGAAATAACCGGCATCACATCCGAGACATTTTACTTATACTAAAAATGGTGAAAGACATCTGGAATAATATGCTAAATGAATCATCTGCATTGGCCAGCCATTGTGTTCTTTATGAGCCATGTTTCCCCGGACCGTGGTCAAGACTATGCAGAGCTTTGAGTTTTGCCATAGGGTCAAGCCTCAACTATCTCTGTACTGATCTCACACCAAGTCCTGCTGACAGGAGTGCCACAGCATCTGTTGTGACCATCGGCTGGGCAAGGAACCAGTAAAGCCCCAGCAAGCTCCAGAACAATGTACCACCCAAGAGCAGGAAAGCTCTGCAACAAAGGATAGGAGGAGGAGGGTAGAAGTGGAATTTGTGCTAGTTCCGCTATTTGGTATCATCTAAGTTGCACAGAGGTGCACTTCTGCACTGCTGTTGTGGTGCAGGTCTTGTGATAAGAAGAAAGGAAAACTGTTAAGGGATGCATTTTGTTTTGCAGTGCTGCAAAACACAGCTGCAGGTCTGCAGCTATGATGCTGCTTTTATTCTTACTTATCCAAACCTACCAAAAAGGATCAAGTCCAGAAACATTTTAACCAGATACTGACCCAGCTATGGAAAAAAACCCAAGCCAACAAGAAACAGGAGCTCGTTTGCTGAGAAAGAGATCTTGCCAAGACCAAATGTTATAGTGAAGAGATCCAGGCAAAGATGATATGGATGTGGCGAAAATTAACTGAGTGTGGAGGCAAAGAGACAAGATATGGAGAAATAATTTTGTTGGGCTGAATGGCAGGGAAGCTTCAGAAATCTGTCGTTGATTACAGATGCATTACTGTCAGGCACAAGGCTTATGTGAGTTTAGATTTATACTTCAGTTGTAATATCCAGTGGGTGACTCAGTTAATGATATCTCCTTTGTCCTATGTTTCTCTAGATCAAGCCGTGCAGATAATTATGAATAATGATAATGATTTGGGTCTCAGAGCAAATTTGCACAGATAAGCACACGCCTATGGGTGATGTGGCTTCATGCACAATAATTAAGCACATACGCCATGGGAAGTGAAACAGAAAATGGGTAAAATAATTCCCTTAGAAGAAGATTTTTTTAGATGTTGGACCTGAAAAGTTGCACTGTGTGCCTATTGCAGGTAGCTGGTAGATTGATTTTAGAGTTCATAGACCTGAGAAAACAGAGGGTTTGCCTAAACAAGAGCAGAATGTGGCACAGAAATAAACACAAAAGCTACCTCTGAGCATGCCGACACGTCACGGAGCAGAGCAGTGGCATGCAGAGACACCAGCACCGCTTCTGAAACCTCTCCAGCTGCGTCAGAACGTCGCTGTGCCTGGCTCCCAGACACCTGGCAGAGCCACCCCACACCTGGGCCAGGACCAGGCGACCCAAACCTGCTCAGCTTCTTCCCACCGGCAGCTCACGGCGTGCTGTAGATGGGCAAATCTACTAAGATTTAGACACACCGCTCTAAATTGCCATCAGTGTGGCTGCTTGCTCATAACTGAGAGTAGAAGTTGGTCCACTGAATTGGAGGAGGTAGATGCATGGTCCCACGGGGATCTATTCAAATTTCTTTTGTAAGGATAGGGCTTCACAACCTAACAAGGTTACTTCGAAAAACTTGCTTCTGTGAAAATGCCACTTATATTTTGCTTCTAGGATCAACATGGCAAATAAGACTTTCTCACACCCTCTGGCAGCTTCCAGAGGAAAAGTTCAGAGACTTGTAATTTCGTCAGTTGCAGTCAGTTCAAAAGAGAATTTTATCATTTAATGTTTTTAAGGCATTTCAGTGGGCTGCCTATGTGGGAGCAGCAGCTGACGGCAGAGAAGACTGTCATTTAGCAACAGGTATATGGGGGAAAACAGGCCTCTTTACATCTCCAAAGAAGGAAAATGTTTAGGAGAGCTTCAAGATCTTTCCAGGCAGTATCTCCCACCTTTGGAAAAAGCCAACAAAGCTGGAATTTATCTCCATTAACTTTGAGCCTCATTACAGACTCCCTGTAGAGGTAATAGGCAATAAACATACACAGAGAGGCACTTCCAGAGGGTGATTTGGCTTTTGGTGGCCTGAATAGTTTTATTGTCAGTGCCAAGATCTTCAGGTTCATCAGTTCATTCTCTCTTAAGACCTTCCAGGTATGATTCGGCTTCAGATTAATGCACCTCCATTTGGATGTCTGTATGCAGGTGTCTGAATGTCCATTATATCCACAAAAAGCTTGTAATTAGATTGGGAATTCAAGGGCTGGATTCACCTGTGCATCCAACTAGACTAAACCTCTGCCTAAGCCCCAGTTCTTCACATGCCTTAGAGCTCATCAGCAGTCTTGCAGATTTTTAACTACAAAGCTTCTCGAGGTGTCTTGCAGCACTTGCTCAGCAGGTGCCTTAATCTGCAGTGCCCATTATCAGGGGTGAGCAGCTCTTTCTTAGCGTTACCGAGCCTGAGCAGACCGCAGTGTGCGCTGCAGTGATGGTAGCGTCGTGTCAGTCCCAAAGCTGCTGTGGTCCAACAACTTGGCTGCTCTAGTCATGGGAAGATGTCCCCAAAAGGCAATGTTCTCCTGTTCTCAGTCGCTTGTTGTTACATGCTACAAGGCTGCTGGACAAGCATTAGTGCATGTGCTGGCCTTATGGTACCTGCCACCTGCACAGTTTTAATGGAACTTCTTCAGCCTATATTACAATGTATATGAATGCCAGCCAGTCTTTAATGGACTGACCATCAAAACATACCCTTGAAACAGGGAAGAACCACCATCTCAACAACACAGACCGCAGCATGAAAAGATGGAGCTTTCTGCTGGTTTCTTTAAGAAAAATTTGTCCCAATTACAGCAAAAAACCCTACACGTTGGACAAAGAGACTTCTCTCTGAGGGAAGAATTTCTCTTCCCTCACTGCCTTGTGCTCATAATCTCCCAAGTTTTGACACTGCTCTGCACAGAGTCCAGGTTAGCCCACCCTCCCCTTCCTCACAAGCTCTAAGGAGGTATCACACGAGAGCGGGCATGGTGGGACCACTAAACTGACTGCCAAAACCAGCCCCAATAGGGAAGTGCTCCTCCGGGTTTTAGAGTAGGAAAAAGAGAGTTCTCCACTATTTAGGTTCTTTCGTGAAAACTCATCGCAGGGGGTCTAAGACTAAAACCTCCCATCTCCTGTTACCCTAAAGGAGGAGGAGAGGAAGGATGGCTCCTTGCTAAGTAATTGAGGTGGCCAGGACATGCGGCTTAGTCTGCCACAGAAAAGAGAGGAAATAATAGCATGTTTTCTTTTCTTTTCAGTGGCACAGCATCAGACTGCAAGGCTAACTGCCTAACGTTTTCTGTAGGAATGTATTAGCTAACCTTTCATATTAGTTCCCATGGGTACTTTGAAAGAGTCTTTCTAGAAAGAAGTCACACATGCCTACTGAATAAAATCAAGGAAAATATAACTGGATTCTTTCACTTTTCAAGAAAGCATGTTTCTTCACTGTCTCAGAAACAGCTTTGAATGTGTTTTGGCAAAATGAACCTAATTAGCTGCAGATTGAATCCTAGACCAACGACACAAATTACAGAATACGACAAGGAAACTTAAAACACCTTGAAGCAACATGTGCAAGCATTTGACAGACTGAGGGCAATACAACACTTTGGGTATCTTAATTCTGCCTGTGACACTGACCAACATCAAACAAGGCAGCGGCTGCAAAGGCCACTGTAACACCAAGCTGCTCTCTGTCATCACGGCTTAAAGGGAGCTGGATCCTGCACTTTGTAATTCCCAGGGGAAATGCCTCATGAAGAGAGAATAGCACTAAACTCTGCTTCCAGCTTCACTCTCAGTATAGCTGAGAGGTGAATTTGACCTTTGGTAACTTGATTAATACCAAATTAACAGATGGCTTTGGACTTTACTTGAGATTGTTTGCTTATCCCCGTGTCTTGCCTTCCTCCCCGAGACCCAGCAGACACCACCTCCGCACACGCTGAAAGCAGGGGGCAAGATCCCCAGTCTCCAGAGAGCGGTGGAGCTGCACATCCCTCACCCGCAACCTGCCCTGATGGAGCAGCTGGTTTCACCCTGGATGCAATGCCTTAGAGTTTTTAAGAAGTGTTGCTCGTGTTTTTGACGTTTTACAAAGGTTATTCTGAAATGTCTATTAAAACAATGTGGGAGCGGTGCCTATGGAAAAAGACAGCATTGGCACTCAGAGCCCCATTGCAAAGCACCTTAAATTAAATGAAGCAGCACTGATAGAACAAATTTCTACCAAAACCCCATGATTTATCACAAGCATAACCTTCTCTTCTTTATGTAATTGAAACAGACTCCAAGTAGCACAAGCATAGGAGATTAAGCCCGTCTTACCTGGAATAGGTATAATGGGAATACTTTCATTGGGGACCACACGGGGGGAACTGCTGTCCTCCACATAGAAATGGGCAGTCTGAAAACACTTTCTGTTAAAGGAAAAAGAAAAAAATATAGATGCAGGGTGTGAAAAGCTGCCCTCTGAAAAAACAGCTGAAAACTTTTGCACATGTTCTGCTTCTCCATTTCTGGTCCATACTGTCAGCTGTTACAGTTTTAAAACATCACTGCAGGAAAACATATTTGCATTTTCTACCATTACAATCCTAATTCTGGATTCTGGTGTGCTCTAATTCATTGACATCTGACATCCACCCATCATAAATGCCTCTGTATATTATTGCTAAGTACCACTGAATACAAAATTATACTCACAAAAGTTAGTGGTTGCAAAACAGGTTTCAAATACATCATTCAGAAAGAAACTCTGCACACAAGAAACATATTCAGAACACAGTTCAAGCCAAAATCCACCTAAGACACTAGCATTTCTAGGGGAAATACATTTACGGTAAAAGTTTCAGCTGACAGACAGGAATACAGCATCTGTAACTGCTGCACGTCATGATGTTCTGCTATGACAGTTATCCTTTAAACGTTACGTGGTTTTGTTTGCTTGTTTTTTAACACTAAAGCCATATAACCCTCATCCCATCCTCCTCCTGCTACAGAAAAATGCAATAGCCACTTAGCTTGGGCCCCAGGACTCATCTCTGAAAAGGCCTATAAAGAAGAACTTAAATCCACCTGACTCTTTTTTACCTGTATTTAATGCAAAGCAGAGAGCACAAGCTGGTCATCACAGAAAAGGTACTGAGCAGAATAACATCAAGAGATCCGAGGAGACTCTGCATGGTGATGTTAACTGAGGCAGGGTTTTCCAACACCAGCGTCACTGCTCATTGCTGACTTAATGAGCTGCTTGAGGCTGGAACTGAATATTTAATGAGTCTTGCTTGGTGTGAGCAGCTATTGTGGCAGGAGAAGGGTCTGCTCTCATCTGTCGGGGCGCTTAACAATAGCTTCCCACTGCAGAAAGATCCCTCTCATTGCAGCCCTTAATGAACTGCTCCTCAACACCTGGGCAAAGTTTGCAGGCGGCCTCGTGAGCCGTGCCTTCTGTCAAGTTGCCGCTTCCCTTGCTGAAACGTATTTGCACATAGTGGCTTTTAAGTTTCTGCCTTGCAGTCTGCTTCTCTGTAATTCGGGCATTGTGCTCTCCAAAGAGAGCCCGCTCTGCAGAGCCGGCTTCGCTGACTTTGTCAAAGTAATTTGTGCTCCCTTTGTTTTCGACATCCGTATGTGCCAGAGAGCAAAAAAGTCACCGAAAATCAAACTGCTCTCTTAGGCAAAACTAGAACCTAAAAAAATCATGGGTGCTTGCTTTCTGTGCACTTGTACTTTTTCCTGCACAGTCACAGTGCTTTATAATGCAAGCACATGCTATGGCAGCACAAGTACAACTTAAGACAATACAGAAGCAGGAGAGAGCGGATTTCACAGCGTGGAGTAATTGTCTCGGAGCAGCTTTCTATTTTCAGGCACAATGTCTTGCATTGTGCTGAAGTTACTTATTTAGTGGGTATGCTTTTGTTAAGAAACACCATAAGGTGAATTCACACATGAGGATGCAAGATGTGCAATAGTCTCACAGCATTTAAAAACATCGGTTGAACTCCCCCCACCCTACTTACTCCCTGTTCTCATTTTTTGTTGGCAGCCTTTATTTTGGACAATGCACACCCTGGGGGCACGCAGCAGAATAAATCAGTCACACATAAAGAAGAAACTATGAATATGAAACAGGCAAAATGTTCCTGATTTTGATGTATTTGGGGCTCTTTCCCTTGAGTCAATACTACAAAAATCCTTGAACAGCTCCTCCTGGTAATGAAGGCCTTAAGAAGGTGTTTGATAAAAAACCCAGACCTTTATGCAGGGATTTACAGGATTTTTTTAAGCTGATGATACTGAAGAAAAGCATTATTTTTTGTTAATTTGTTATTTTATACTCTGAGAGGCTCTGATAGGCTGGCATTGTGCTTTTTTATGCAGCCATAAGACAGTTTTTTCTTAATAGTCTCAAAACATGCAATTGCATTGGATAATCACATACGCAATATTGTAAGGCCCACGATGGGGATAGCTGGATATCCGAGTCCAGCATATCTCTGCTGAGCACAATGTTGGAATAACAATGTAGTAAATGAGTATTTCACATAGTGAAGTTTGCTACAATCATTAGTGTCACTAACAATTCCACATTTTATTCCTGGAAGACTTTCTGTAGCTGTTTCGAAAGGCAGTCACCATGGAATTTGACTAAAGTTTTTCTCAAGTCACAAACATCACACTGAATACACTCTTGTCTTGTGTATATACATACATAACGCAGCATGTTCGTTACAATACTGGATACCGGCACGTTAGGTGAAGACATGCTTCTCGGAGTCTTTTTTTTCACTTGCTCGTAATTGCTATAAATATTCCAAGTTTAGCCTCCACAGCTGAGCTTGCGGTGCACAGGCCATCGCATCCCTGTCCTGATGACTCCCTCCATGTCTCAGGGGCTCCTCGTGACAGCATAAGGCAGCACTGATGGGACTATGCAGGCTCGGACTCGAGAGCAGGATAAAGTGGATTGATCTTTGAAAGACCTTTTATGACGGGTTTCACAAAGTAGCTGGATGAATTTTCCAGCAAGTTCTACTTACTGGGTCTGTTTCCTACTCTTGCATCTCTTCCCTGTGCAGCTCCAGGAGAGAGCACGCATCTCAGGGCACCAGGCAGATGCCTCCAGGCCCCCAGTTTGGATAATGTCCATTTTTCAGCCTGGGACTGACTGAGTGAGGAAACGCCTGGGCCCAAGAAGAGCCTTTTGCAAACTTGTGTTTAGTTTGTAGTAATAAATACTGATAGCTGGGATCAAGGCTACTGAGAGGCATTTCAGAAAATTTAGCGTCTGCCTTCTCCCCCAGTTTAGGATGCTCCTTTCTATCCCTTGGCATTTTCCCAACCTTTCCCTCAGTATACAAACCTGAAGTGGCAGCAGTTGCTAAGGCTACAAGAGGCTGCAGTAAATCTGTGTGCATGTATGGGGAGGGCTGGATAAAGGAAAAGGATGAGAGCAGAAAATTGCTTGCTTCGAGTCACCGGAGAAGCAGCCATGGAGAGAGGTAGGAGCGGATGCAGGGCTAGACAAGGTGCAAGTCTACAACTGTTTTCACATGAGCACTTCTGCCTGTAACTTTTAACCCCAACGTGTATACATGTGCAGGTGTTTGCACCTGTATGCCCATTTGCTCAGGAAACCAACACTGTCAGCAGAAAAAAACCAGATTTTTTTTTCTGACAGAAGCAGTCCTTAGTGAATGAGCAATTGGGATTTGTCAATGGCATAAATGGTTATTAAAATCTTAACAACTGAAACAACTAATTTTAGAATAATTCTTGCATTTCTGCAGCACTGGCTGAGGAAAAGCAAATCACAGCCTTGATTTTACTTCCAGAAGATTTCAGAGAGCCCACATCTTTTCTGCAAAATACCAAAGAGTCTGTTGTCTCTGAAATACGTCTGTGTGCAGTGAAGCACACCGTTTTCTCTAGCCCCATATGTTTTTTTGGCTCCCTTTCCCTGGGGTACAATAACTGTGCGAGATTGTGGTGATCAGACACGCAGTTGTCACATACGAACCAAAATGCAGAAAGTAAAACACTGCGAGATTAGCATCTCCCCGGAGAAGGAACAGAGGCAGGGTCTGGAATGCAAAGATGATGTGAGGGAGAGCCATCCCCCTGCCCAGAATCTTCTTACAGAGATACTGGCAGTGAGTTATTAAAGCAAACTAATAGGATGCAAAGTCCAGAGCAGCAGCACCTTATTATCAAGCTGAAAGGATAAAAATATGCCAAGAGATGGTCCTGATTAGCTGGGTTAAATGCTTGTTCCGTCTCTGCTGAGCAAAATACCAGATTAGCTTCTGCAGAAGAAGAGATGCCTTGTGAGATTTTGACACTCAAACCAGGTTTCCTTGGTTATTAGTTAATAAACCTCAAGCAGCTTCTCCTTTATACTCATCTAAAAGCAAGAGGAAGAACCAGATCACACAATGGCTTGAAAGCATGGGTGCATGTTATTTTCACGTAGAAGCTAGCACCTTAGTGTTTAGTTAATACTGCCTCCAATACAAACACACACTGCGCGCTGCAGTCAATGGGAGTGCTGGGAATAGCTCCGAGGGCAGCGTTTGGCCTTTACTCCTCTGTACTCTGTCTAGCGTGGGCAGCATCCCCTGATCTGTGATGACAGGCGAGGGATCTGTGCTTCTCTGGAGCAGCTGAGGCAGGGAGAGAAGGAGCAATGGTTTATTGCGGAGGGGCAAGTGATTGCCTTCACAGCTGCTGGCTGAAACTACCAGGACAGTGGCTGAACACAGGAAAAATCAAAGGGGAATGCTTCACTTTCTGGGGACACGCAAGAGCCGTGTCCTGCCTCACATGCTGAAGTGACTGGCACATTCATTGCTCCCTTGTTCACCAGGGATCTGCTCCTTCTTCCAGGCATTTCTGTTGGCCGGAGCAGTGTGTATTCCCTCTCCAAGGCTAGCCAGATTTATACTACTTTATTTCTGTAATAGCATCTAGGAGCTCTAGGCTCCCGATTTCTTGCAACCGCTCTCTTCTTGGGTCATTACCTCCTAAAGCATGACTAATTTGGGGGCAGATGGCTTGAAAGGGTCCTGGAGGCCTATTCACTACTGTCAGAGCAGGGCAGACCTTGTCCTCTGGGTACCCTTCCTCCAGAAACAGCCTCCCACAGACAGGAGCTCTGCAGAATGTACATTTATTAAGGAAGAGGCCAATAGTCCCTGCAGCCACCCTACTTTCACACACAGCCCTGAGCTGGTGGGCAGAACAGGCAAGATCAAACAGGAGTCAAACTGGGAGCTGTAACGGACCTCGAAACCAGGCTGTGCAGGACATGGCTTAGTCTTTATCAAATGCAACCTGGATACAGGCATTCATTCACCGTGCTCCTCCATCACGGGTGGGGGGGCTCTGCAAGTAACTCCCAAACAAGGATCCAAAG